CACCACCACGACCACCACCACGACACCGAGGAAAGTTCCAAATGATAGTGATGAGCTCCGGGATTCTGAAGATGGTAGTGGCTCGGCTTTCAGATTGAGTTGTGCTTCTTCTGCGGGAGCTGGCTCCAAAGTGTGCCACAAGCAAAGTGCTGTCTGTAGGGGGTGAACACAAGGCGTTATGGAATGCAGCATTTGCTTGTCGTCGTTTGCCTCGATGACTGTGGTCACTGAAGCTGCATTGATCTTTGGACCAATTGCATCCGCATGAAGCAGCATTCGCTCTTTCCTGGCCTTGTCATCCAGTCGTGGCATTTTGATGCTTCCATTCATGATATGTCTTCACATCATGTTTGTCCGTTTGTCCTGTGCGTGAGTTGAGGTGCGGACGCCATGCAAGCACTATTTTCACGAAAAATGTCGCATGACTGTGCAGCCAGTGCAGTGCACATGCTTTCAGTGACCTAGGAGGGATTGTAGCGCAACGTCATAGAGTTGCTGGTAGAAGACTTAAATTGCCAAGGTGCTTGTAGACTTCAATGTGCCTGTATGTTTAGTTCTGCGTATGTGTTTGAGCAGCACCTTGCAATTACATTGGGGGAGGCAGGAGCGTGAATGCTAAGGTCTTGCGCAGTGGTGCGAGGCACATGTGAGCTGTCCTCTGTGCAAGAGCCTTGTGGCAGATCCAGGACCGCTCTCCTCGGATGCCTGTTAACAGTTCACGGCCTCCGAAGGGGGCCGCAGTGTCTCACTCTGAAGCTGCCGTTCTGCAGCAAGTGCAACACCCAGTTGGAGATATTGACGGGATGAATTTGGACTTGCCCGAATCGCAACGGGCTTTTTCTCACGTATTCAGCGTAGCTTCGGCAGCATGTAGAGAAGTACAGCATGTTGCCCAAAGATAAGGTACAAATAACTGCAATGTTCTGCATGACGGCTGGCAGGAGGTAACCTTGGGTGATAGAACCTACGTAAGTGACGTTGGACACTTCACTTCTGCTCCTGTCCAACTCATGCAGGCCAGTGGCAATAGCGGGATATGAAGCCGATTTCCTCAGTTTAATTGATTAGAGGACGAGGCATCAGTCCCAGGAAAAGGGCAGACTGCTTGGAGTTTTTGACATCAAGTGATGCGCTTCAAGCCAACATGGCGCATTGTTATACTAGGCCGTTGGCGTAGATCTTGCCGGCGTGCTGGCGGGACCGTCAGTTTTTGCTGTCATTTCAACTTCGTCCATATGGCTACTCGTACGCTGTGCCAGGCAGCCGCGAATGCTGTTGGCGGACTACCCGGTGCAAGTGGGCTTCGGATCTGAAATAAGAGCACGCCATCTCTTGACTGGAGTTCGCGTTAGATCCAAGCCTGTCAGACGACAGCTTCTGAGTGCTAAGGCTGTTGTCTGCCCTCCTGGCGCAGCTGGCAGAGAGCGGACCTGCAGTAAGAGAACAGGAGCCCGCTCAGCCGCAGCTTTTGGTGAAAGTTAAGCTTTTCAGATTCCTGAAGCCTGAGCTGCGAATTCTGTCCCCGGCTCGCGTGCTGCGCCTACAAAGACATAAGCAAAAGCCGCTATCGAATCTATTATTCTGCAGCGAATATCAGCGATTGTCTCTGGTCCTCATTTATGAGGCGCAGCTGTGGCTGCGAATTGTTGATAGTTGTCCGTCTGATACTGCTAGAATGTCGGAGGAATCGCGATTTGAGTAGGACAGCCACACCGCTGGAGGGCCGAGCTTTCCACCGGGCATGCTCTTTTGGTAGACCAAAGCTGCCGGACAACCATGTTCATCCTGCACGCATGCTTGTGGGCAGCATTTTTGTTCAGGACCTCTTCCAGGCGCTGGACGTCCTTGGCGGTCATGTCGGGGAGGCCTGGGATGGATGAAAAGCTGTGCAGCACTCGCAACTCGAACATCTGGGCATGGAACAAGTCTGGAGATGCTCCGGGAGGAGTGCAAGTAGGCTGCTTTGACTTGAGCCCAAGCTTGAGGTAGATCCAGCAACTGTGGAAGACTTCATCAACTCTATGAGGCTTGCGGCTGGTGAATGAAGTCCTGCCTCGGAAGCGTGCCAGTTCCATCCGCAAGTCTGCAGTGCAACATCTTGCGACAAGCTGTGCAGGTATGTCTGGCCGCTGTGCGGCAGCCGCACCCTAATCAAGGCCTAGCAGAGCACGAGACCCAAACACTTGAAGGGTAAGCAGTAAGCTGTGTTGAGACATTGCCGTGTACATGGCTGTCTGGAATTAAAGTAGCCCTGCTTGCATCTGACAAGAGGGCTTACCCCGGGAGATTAGTCAGGTAGGCCGAGGCGACTTTCTGCATGACATCTGCGGACAGGCCTTGCTGGTGCTGGGCCAGGCCAATGCTCTCGATGTGAAGACCTGCCGCCTACTCCTGGCAGAGTTGGAGGCTGATCGCTGTAGCACTGTAGCTAGCTGTGGCTCTCAGTTGAAGGATTTCAATGGCCTCTTGGTGGGATCAGGCTCGCAGTGACTTCATTGGGAGCTCCGACCGCGAGGTTGGCTTGGGGTCGCTCCCTTCTGCATTGCATGTTTCGCATTTTCCGCAGGTAGGGCTCGCTCAGAAGGCAAAATGGTGGATAAACTGACCCTGAAGCATAAGCAAATGGATTTCTGAAGTGCTTGTGTTCAAGCATGGCATAACAAATGCAACCAGCTAAGCATTGGTATATATGTGGGCCCTAAGGTGTCCTGAAAGGTCAACAAAAAGGCTGCGGAATTTTCATGCATTTCTGGAAGTTGAATAGTGAGCAGCCTCCACATTTCCTCGACTACTGGAAGTTGCAACTGCAAGAAGGTGTGTTGAAGGATGTTTCAAAGCAAAAGCTTCCAGGTCCGAAGTATTATGAAGCAGTGGAGTTATGATCTTATCCACATTGGTTTTCCATGTTTGCAGAGTGAAAGTGAAAGCGCATTGAAGATCACAAGCTCATAAGGAATGGGCGGGGAACAGCCGTGGTGCAGCTGGTTGAATGGTGATGGTTGACTGGGATGCCGGTACATCTTGGGTGACGGGTAGCTGCGCAGCGTTTGCTACACGCACTTGAAGACATGTTCATACCTGCTCAGTCCAACAAGTGCTCAGGAGCATTGTGGACATGCTTCAAGTCATATTGAATTGGCAAACCTGCAGGCCTTGCTGCTTTTGTTGGCGTTGCACAAGAACGCCTTTGATCGAACAGCAGTGGCCATGGGATTGCCGCATCCGCTGTACGACGAGGCTTTTGCAGAGGTGTTCATTTGTTAGTGAGGAGCTGTGTTGCGGCATTGCCAGGCTGCGAAGCGCTTACTGAAGGTGGAGCAGGGTCAGTCGATGTAAGTCTCCCTTGAGAATGCATGCATGCGTTCATGACATTTCATGACATCAGCAAAAGCTTGCCTTCACTCAGGAGCTGTCAAAAGGCTCTGCTGCCCGCATCACTGCTTCACCCATGGAGAGCTTGTCTCGCCCAGTTCTGGCAATGGCGCGAAGCTGACATTCGTGTAGCTTATATCCTTGTTCAGATGCCAAGCCGTTTGAAGTTATAGCAAGGCTCAGCTTGGCATTCTGAGCCACCGGGCGTTGCGCGCGCTTGACGAGCGCTTGATGCCGCTTTGCTGAGACAGCGAGCATGTTTTGCCGTGTGGTATTCAGAAGGACGAAGCTTGTGTTTGCTTCCCGCCAAACCTTTGGGATTGCATCCCTGTACCCTGTGATGATGGCAGGTCGGGAAGACTTTTGTCCCTGTCGCCTGCTGCATTTGTGTCCCTCGCATATGCAACGCGCTGGGTTCCCAGGAGGTTCAAGTTGTCAAAGCCGATACTTGCCACCCAGGGCTGTTTTTATGAGCTGGGAGAACCAGGTTCTTTGAGACGTTTTGCAGGCCTAGTACGCGGACCCGTTCCTCGAGAAGAGTTGCGGCTTCCACTGTGCCTTGCGTTCGGTGCTCTGCTTCACGCGATGGAGCCAAAGCAGGCCCGGTCATTGCATCCCATGATGCTAGAAACGTTGGTTCATATGAATATATATATATATAGTACCGTATAGAGCTTAAGGGTTTTAATTTCGTTCAAGCATACATCATCAAGTTCTGTTTGTGGAACCCATATTGAAACAAACTCATGTCCATGAGAACGCGAACAACTGGCGGTGGAGAAGCAAGCTTTTACAACTGGGAGAAGGTAGCAATGACTCCTGCCTTCAGCACGCAGCAGCGGCAAATCTCATGCACAGCTCATTTCCATTTCACGCAATCGCTGTGCTTCGGCATCGGTCGGCATCTGCAATCGTCAATCATGGCTAAAAGCGTGTGAAACTCTGCACTGTACAATCTTGACGAGGGGTGAATACGAAGAAAGGGTGGTAACCAAAACAAGGTTTCTGGAACAGTAACAGGATTCCAGGAGAATGGATAAGTTAACACCCTCTGGCCACGATAAGTGGCTCTGAAGTAGTGTTGTTGCATGGTACTGTCATGACTGACAAGCTTGACCAGCATTTCAGAGCTGTCTTTGTCAGAGCTGTCTTGTGGTGTTTTCACATATGAGCCAGAGTCTGAACCCTTTGAAGGGGAATTTCACAGGGGGGTATCATAGGCTCATATCACAGCAGATATCGCAACAGATTCCACAGCCATTCGGATTTGCAGGCTTTGACATGGGTTTTTTGATTTGTTGGATTGTCGTATTCCCCATGAAAAAAAACCAAACTGTGAGGGAGTCACCGCTTCGGAGTTTTCGAAGCCCCAAAGCTTAAAATGGAGACACCAACCCCCTTTGAAAGACCTGTCCCATTGGAAACGCAGCAGCCTGCGAGGGAGTCACCGTTTTGGAGTTTTCGGTTTTACCGAGAGCTACTTCAACCTAGCGTGCTCAGGATGAAGAAATCCGATCAGCTCCGCAAGTTAAAGCCGTGCTACGTGTGGGAGATGGCTAGCTGAAAGCTATAGACCTCTCGGGCTACAACGAGAGGTTGGCTGGCAGAGCGCTAGAGACGACTCTCAGTTTCACAGGGAGCGGATTTCTGCCACCACGCTAAAGAGAGCGCCAGCCAGTTTTTAGCGAGGGCTTTGCTGTAAAGTGCTAAAGCCAGTTTGCTACGCTGTTAGGTAGCTGTTTGGTAAGTGCTAGTGCAAGTGTTTGAGAGTTTGCCTGCGCTTTACCTGTCTTTGGGTTTTCTGAAGCTAGCTATTGCTAGCGAAGAAACACTACCGTGTAAATCCTTGGGAGATGCCTGAGGGTTGGTGGTGAGCTTATTAGTACAGCTAACGTACGCACTCGTAACGAGGTACGAGGGGCAACCGTATGTGTTAGCTAAACTTACTTCTTAGCGAAAAGGTCGAAAGTTTTTCGCAACCTTTGTACATGCTAAACCCTTTGGGGTTTGAAACGGCAAGATATTTTATAGATATCCGTTGCCGTTTTGATATCAAGCCCCCCTACGTTAAGGGGGGAGATTTTGAGTTCCCACCCTACCCGCCCTCTAGTTGAAAGAGGGATGGCTAGCTGAAAGCTAGAGACTTTTCTCGGGTTACAGCGAGAGATTGGATAGCAGAGCGCTAGAGACGACTCTCAGTTTCACAGGGGGCGGATTTCTGCCACCACGCTAAAAAGAGCGCCAACTTTGCCGTAAAGTGTTAACGCAAGTTTGCTACACGGTTAGGTGACCGTTTGGTAAGTTTGGTAAAGTGCTAGCGCAAGGGCTTGAGAGTTGGCCAGCAACTTTACCTGTTTTGAGTTTTCCTAGCAACCGCTAGCGAGAAAACACTACCGTGTAAACCCTTGGGAGATGCCTGAGGGTTGGTGGTGGGCTAGTTAGGAATGCTAACGCACGACCCTGTGGTCGGGATGGGACAGTGAGACTGCCATCTTCGTGTCCGTCCTGCCTCTTGGACATTGGCAAAGAATGCAAAGTCTACGCTACTTGCGCCATTGTGGAACGGAATGGGGTGGAAGGCAAGGTGTGAAGGGAAAGTGCGGTGGAAAGAGGTGGGCATTGAAGAGGAAAGGCAGTGGAGGCTGGAGTGTAGAATGGAGATCGGAGTGGAAAGTGTAGTGCAGAGTGTCTTTGGAGAGGTTGTGGGACGGGTTTCCCAGGCCGCTTAACGAGGTTTGTGCGTTTTGATGGAATGTACCTTCCCTCCTCCTCTTCTACGCTACTCCAAGGCTAGATAGAACCTGGCTGATTTTCGTTGGCCTCGGCTCGCCCCGCAAGTTGTGAAAATAAGTGAAACCACCATGCAATACTTCATTGCTGAAGGTGGCCAGTTGCATTGAGAGCCTGAAAGGCTACTGCTACAAGGCTGGTTGCACCTGCGCTCTGGAGATCCGCGTTGTTGTGCAAGCCATCTGTTTTACCACGGAAATTGCCCTGGGATGAGGCGCACAGAGGAGTGTTCCAAGCAGCGTATGCTCGCCTGGCATCCTCGCTTGAGGAGCAAGCAACAGGCCGAACAAAGTACTTTGAGGAGGGATCTGTCGGAGCTTTCTGCTGGAGGCCTTGGTTCTGAGAGGCCATGGGCCACGCTGACGTCTTCCGAGGCGTCAAGGTCCCTGTTTGCTCTGCACTTGTTTCAACAACTGTTCGAGGCAGCTGCAGCTATCAAATCTTTCCCAGAGCTCAAGTTTGAGGAGCTGGACTTAGTTGCCGTGGAGTGTGTGTGCAGCTCCAAGCTACGGGCCATTTTGAAGATTTTGCCGTCAAGATCAAATGGTTTCGGCAGTGCAGGATCCCCAGCTCTTGCTCCGCATGCTTCGAGCATTGAGCCCGTTGCAGAGCCACCCCAGGCACAGATATGGGTTTTATGGATTTGTTGACGCCTGCGTCATGTATTCCTAGAGCAGCCGTTGAGGCAACTTGCATTGTCCGACTCAGATGAAGGCCAAAGCGGAACAGATTTGATGCCTTGCTGAGACATGATTCAGAGCACACCACGGGAGACTCGGATTCCAGCTTTCAGTAGTGTGCGAGCCAACAGTTGTGGAAGTTGGCAATGCTGTTTGTGAGACGGTTAGATGGCGGCACTTTGACAGGAAGCAGCCAGCAATGGGCAAAGCTGGCAACTGCCGCGCAAGATGGTGTGGAAGCCCCAAGCATGCTCGCCAGGCAGGTGGGGAGACAAATCTGCTCCGCAGCTGTGTTTGTTGAATATTATGAGGATGAATATGATGGAGCTGGTGGACATCCTCGAGGCCTTTGGTCAGCAAGGCCTCATCGGCTGCGGGGCTGTGTCCAAGGTGCCGCAATCAGTGCCAGGAATCGCAGTTCCTCTAATCAGAATCTGCCGTTGGTGACCTCACAGGCAATTGTGACTCGATACCAAGACAATGGAGGGAGACTTTCGCGACGCAACACGGCAAGAGCCTCTCAGCTGCAACCCTTGCGTTTGAACCTCCGGAGTCCAGCTAACCGGTTTCTGGTGTTGGGGGCCGGGTAACGCAAATCAAAGAAGACGCGAGCCCAAACAAGATCTTTTTGGTGCCTGAGGCTCTTCAGGCATTGGCGACGCTTGGCTGGCAGGAGTTCAGAGAATTCAAAGCTTTTGTTTTCTAGTACCAAGTCTGGTACGGGCCGGCAGCGTGCCCATGCTTGTCAGATATCTCCAAGGCAGCTTGGGGAGCAGGAGACAGAACTGCAAGAAGTCCTCATCGGCGAGCTGGAGGGTTGGGAGGCTGGAATTCGTAGTAGCTTAATCTTTGTAACATGGCCAGCGCTGAAAGAAATGCCGCTTGACCATCAGACACTACGTGCGAGCAACACCAAGCGTCCGTCCAAAAGTGGTGTAGCACCTGCTGCAGTATTTTCGTTTTTCCAGACTGAACAGCACCCTTGGAAGCCAAGCAACACTCAGAACGGCAAGGTCCAGGTCCAGGTCATGGATCATTGCATCTCACCGCAGGTTCGTACTATTTCGTACCCGCGGGAGAGGTGGTAGACGTTTGAACTGGTGGTTCCTCAAGTCCCCCTCAAGGACAGTACCCACGAATTTCTCACAAGGAATGGCATCCGCAGGTGCGAGACCCTCACGGTGCAGATCTTCGGCCGCGGCCGGCTTTGGTGGCTTTGTGGTCCCTATGTGCTCTCAACCTCGTGCCCAGGCAAGGAAAGAGAGCAGTGTAAGAGTCATTTCGAGTCTCGAAAATCGCTTGTAGGGCCGCCTCCTCGGTTGACTGGCTGCTGACCTTTCTGTGCCGCGAGAGGGTTGCGACGCTCGGGGCTGAGAGTTGGTCGACAGCGGCTTCTTAGAGACCATGCATAGAAATTGTGCCAAGGTATGTCCTGGGGATCCGTAGCCAGGTGGGAAAGACAAAATTTCATGTTCTTGTCTCAGTGCATTCTGGTTTTGGACTTTTGGAGGCCTTGCTGCTGTTTGAGTCTCTCGATGCTGTCCGATCAGTGGTGCCTGCTCTCGCAGTGAGGCAGGATGCCACAATGTGCCGCGATGTGCTGCGGATTGCTATTTCAATGCTGCTTGAACAAGCCCCTGCGTTGAACATGTAACTGGTGGGACCGTTGCATTTCTTGTAGGGTTAAATATCACCACAGGAAAACGATCCCGCGCCCTGCCTCCAGTTGTTAAATAGACTGTGTCCCTATAGCAGCCAATATGCTCATGATTGCTTGGACGTGTGCGCCAATCGACAACGGCTCTCCTCGCACCACTGCTGGTACATTTCCGGCCTTATCCGCATTTCTCGTCTTCTTGCAAAATGTGCAGAACTCTCGTCTTCTTGCAATATGTGGATAACAGGTTTAAGTGTGCAGCCTAAAACTGTTGGATCTGTTGGCTTGCTATCCGCAAGGTATCTAAGTCATTGTGGAAGCTGAGGGGCAGCTGAAGCTTTGGCTCCCATGCTCTGCTTAAGGCAGCTTGACGTCAGCTTGTTGGATCGAATAGTGGCAATTGAGGCATGTACTATATTCACTAATTGACCCGGACAAAAATTGGCTAAGTGACACTGGGACCCCCTAAACCCTCAACCCTAAACCCTAAACAACCCTAAATCCTAAACCCTAAACACCCCCTCAACACTAAACAACTCTACATCCAAAACATCCCTTAAGGCTAAACCCTAGACCCTAAACCCTAGACAACCCTAAACCCTTAACAACCCCAAACCCTAAACCCTAAATCCAAAACCGCTGCAAAACCCCTAAACCCTAAAACCCCAAATCCAAAACCCCTAAACACTAAACCTAAATCCAAAACCCCTAAACCCTAAACCCTAAATCCAAAAAACCCATCCTAAACCTAAATCCCAAACCCCTAAACCCTAAACCCTAAATCCAAAAAAAACCATAACCCTAAACCCTAAATCGAAAACCCCAAAACCCTAAACCCAAAATCTAAACCCCTACACCCTAAACCCTAAATCCAAAATCTCTACGTAAACCCTAAACCAAACACCCTAAATCCAAAATCCCTAAACCCTAAACCCCTGCGCCTCAATCCCCAAAACCTCTAAACCCTAAACCCTAAATCCAAAACCGCTAAACCCTAAACCTAAATCCAAAAGCCCTAAACCCTAAATCCAAAACCCCTAAACCCCAAACCCAACATCTAAAATGCCTGCACCCTAAACCCTAAATTCAAAATCTCTAAACCCCAAACCAAACCCCCTACACCCTAAATCCAAAATCCTTAAACCCTAAACCAAAACTGCTACACCCTAAACCCTAAATCCAAAACCTCTAGACCCTAAACCCCCCTAAACCCTAAACCTAAATCCAAAACCCCTAAACCCTAAATCCAAAACCCCACAACCCAAAATCTAAAACCCCTGCACCCTAAACCCTAAATCCAAAATCTCTAAACCCCAAACCCTAAATCCAAAACCCCTAGACCCCAAACCAAATCACTAAACCCTAAACTCTAAATCCAACACCCCTAAACCCCAAACCCTAAATCTAAAATCCCTAAACCCTAAACCCTAAACCCTAAATCCAAAACCCCTAAACCCCATACCCTGAATCCAAAATCCTTAAAACCTAAACCCTAAATGCAAAACCCCTAAACCCCATAAACCGTAAACCCGAAATCCAAAACCCCTAAACCCTAAACCCTAAATCCAAAACCTCTAAACCGTAAACCCTAGATCCAAAATCCTTAAAACCTAAACCAAAACCCCTAAATCCAAAACCCATAAACCCTAAATCCAAAACCCCTAAACCCTAAACCTATATCCAAAACCCTTAAACCCTAAACCCTAAATCCAAAACCCTTAAACCCCAAACCTAAATACAAAACCACTAAACCCTAAATCCAAAATCTCTAAACCCCAAACCAAACCCCCTAAACCCTAATCCAAACCTCTAAACCCTAAACCCTAAATCCCAAACCCCTAAACCCTAAACCTTAATCCAAAACCCCTGAACCCTAAACCCTAAATCCAAAACCGCTAGACACCAAACCTAAATCCAAAACCCCTCAACCCTAAATCCAAAATCTCTAAACCCCCTAAGCCCTAAATCCTAAATTCAAAACCTCTAAACCCTACACCTAAATCCAAAACCCATAAACCCTAAACCAAAATCCTAAACCCGAAATCCAAAACCTCTAAACCCTAAATCCTAAATTCAAAACCTCTAAACCCTACACCTAAATCCAAAACCCATAAACCCTAAATCCAAAACCCCTAAACCCTAAACCTATATCCGAAACCCTTAAACCCTAAACCCTAAATCCAAAACCTTTAAACCCCCAACCTAAATACAAAACCACTAAACCCTAAATCCAAAATCTCTAAACCCCAAACCAAACCCCCTAAACCCTAATCCAAACCTCTAAACCCTAAACCCTAAATCCAAAACCCCTAAACCCCAAACCTAAACCTAAACCCCTAAACTAAGAGGAGCGAGCTTTGCTGCGACCCCAAGGGGCGCACGCTCGCTCCTCTCTGTGGCCACTGCCACCAGGTGGGTCTCTCGTTAGGAGACCCACCTATAGATACTCACGTAAGGCAACGCCTCGTAACGCCTCCAATACACTTAAAGAGGTTCTCCACACAAGACCCTAAACCCTACTTATCGCAACCTTCAGGACCTAGGAATTAGGATTTAGGATTTAGGGTTTCGGATTTAGGATCAGGGTTTAGGATTTAGGATTTAGGGTTCAGGGGCTTTCAGGGCCTCCCAGGGCCTCCCAGCGCCTGCCCTCCTCTCCCACAATCCAGGGCCTTGCAGGGCCTTGCCGGGCCCTGTCAGGACTGTGCAGGGCCAGAACCCTGCAAAGCCTTCAAGACGTCAGGGCATCCTAGAGGCCTGCAGGGCCTCTCAGGGAGCCCTCTGGAAGCTTCTGGCAGCCTCTGAAGGCTTCTACATTTTTTTATCATATCCTGCTGTCCCCCCCCCGGGCGACATAATCCATTGCAACCTTCATCTATTGGATTCTCTACACTTTCTATCATACCCGGGTGCCCCCCTCGGCGCCATACTCAGCGCAACCTTCAGGACTTAAGACATCTGCTAGACCGTCTAGATTTAATATCATATCCTGCTGCCCCCCCGGGCGACATAACCCATTGCAACCCCGCTCACCGCTCCGCAGCAGGATGTGCACCGGCTCATCATGCAACTCGCATGCAAGAGTTTCGGCGGTAGGTATTTATCTGTATGGTGTCTTGGTTTTCAGGAACACTTCGAACAGGTAATTCGGATAAGGGGAAAATTGATAGTTGGGAGTGGTGTTTGGGGCCCTATAAAAAACCAAATCTAAATCCAAAATCCCTAAACCCTAAATCCAAAATTCCTAAACCCCAAACCCTAAATCTAGAATCCTTAAAACCTACACCCCAAACCTAAATCCAAAATCCCTAAACCCTAAATCCAAAACCCCTAAACCCTAAATCCCTAAACCCTAAACCCTAAATCGAAACCCCTAAACCCAAACCTAAATCCAAAACCCTTAAAACCCCAAACCTAAATCCAAAATCCCTCAACCCCAAACCTTAAATCCAAAATACCTAAACCCTAAACCCTAAATCCAAAACCCTAAACCCTAAATCCACAACCCCTAAACCCCAAACCTAAATCCAAAATCCCTAAACCCTCACGCTTTGTAATATATTTCCCTAAGCCCCACAAAAATTGCTCGCGGCAGGCCCGCTGAATCGCGGGGCCTCCAAGGCCTTCCAGGCCTGCAAGGCTCCAGCCTGTTCAGGGCCTCCAGGCCATCCCCGGCGTCCCGCCATCTCGGGGCGTCACGGGGCCGTCCTGGCGACCAGACGCTAAACTCAGGACCTCGGGTCTGGAGGCTAAGCCGTAAACCCTCAGCAGACTGACGCTCAACCCTTCCGGACCAGACGCTGCCGCGTCTAAGCGTTTTCGAGCTTCGCAGACAAGAACCATGCTATTTCCCGGAACCAAGATATGACGATGGCGGGTAGCTCACATGACCCGGAGCGGGTAAGAATGTGACAGGGCCCTTTGGCCCAGACCGTCCCCGTCTGAAACGCTAAGCCCTTCCAGACCAGAGGCTACCGTTTCAAAGCGTTTTCGAGCCTCACAGACAAGAGCCACGCTGTTTCCAGGAATCAATGGCGGGCAGCTCACATGACCCGGAGCGGAGGAAAACTGTGACAGGGCCCTTCAGCCCAGACCGTCCCCCAACAAAAAACCTAAATTTTCGTCTGAGGCAGCTAAGTGAAGCAATTTCACGCTCTTGCATGGCAGCCTTGACAGCATGGATGGATTGTTGCGTGATGGCTCAGGCTTGGCTAGCTTTGGCTTATTCGGCTGGTTGGCTTTTATTGCTCTGAGTCGTGTTTGGGTGACCTTGAGGTGGGCGTGTCTGCATACTAAGCGTCCAGCAGACCAATCCTACACCCCTGAACCCGAAACCTTAAATCCAAAATCCCTAAACCCGAAACCCTAGATCCAAAACCCCCAAGCCCTAAACCCTAAATCCAAAATCCCTGAACCCTTAACCCTACATCCAAAATCCCTAAACCCCAAACCTAAACCCTAAACCCTAAATCCAAAATCCCTAAACCCTAAATCCAAAATTCCGAAACCCTAAACCCCCCCCTAAATCCAGCATCCCTAAACCCTAAAACCTAAATCCAAAGCCCCTAAACACCCAAACCCTCCTAACCCCTAAATCCAAAATCCCTAAGCCCCAAACCCTAAATCCAAAATACCTAAACCCTAAACCCTCAATCGAAGACCTCTAAACCTCAAAATCCCGAAGCCCTAAACCCTAAATCCAAAACCCCTAAACCCCAAACCCTAAATCCAAAATCCCTTAACCCTAAACCCTAGATCCAAACCCCCCAAGCCCTAAACCCTAACTCCAAAATCCCTAAACCCTAACCCCTAAATCCAAAACCCCAAAACCCCTAAACCCCAAATCTGAATCCAAAATCCGTAAACTCTAAATCCAAAATCCAAAATCCCGAAACCCTAAACCCCAAACCTAAATCCAAAATCCCTAAACCCTAACTCCAAAATCCCTAAACCGCAAACCCTACATCCAAAACCCCTAAACCCCAAACCTAAAGCCTAAACCCTAAATCCAAAATCCCGAAACCCTAAATCCTAAATCCAAAATCCTTAAAGCCTAAACCTTAAATCCAAAACCCCTAAACTCCAAACCTAAATCCAAAACCCCTAAACCCTAAATCCAAAACCCGTAAACCCCAAACCCTAAATCCACAAGACAAAAATAGATAGAAATTGTATACTTTCACAAGCAGACATGAGATGCAAGTTTGTTTGCCCAGTATTCTCATCTACGTAAACCATTTGGTGTTTTTTCCACGTCCCTGCCCCGCCCAAAAGCAGCCAGGCCTTGAACAGCCCAAAAACAACCAGAGAGCCCAACGCAGTTCCAAAACCCAGAAATGGTCTGAAAAAAACTTAAAGCAGACCCCAGACACAGTCCCAGAAATGGTTTGGGAGAGCCCCAAAACTAGCCCAGGAATGGTCTGGAGAGCCAAGGCACTAAACTAGTTTTGGGCAAGTTAAGACCTTTTGGTCAAAGGTCAAAACAGAAATGGTCTGGGAAAGCTCCAAAACCAGCGTAGGAATGGTCTGGAAAGCCAAGGCAGCAAACTGGTTCTCCGGAAAAGCGCTTAGGCTAGGAATTGTGGACGAGCTGGTTGGTGATTACTCAAGCTCCTACAATTGGTGTCCAGACTCGATTTGTACGCATTCGCACTCTCGCAGTTGCTCCACGTGTGAGAGCTCATTTCTTGCCCAGGGTTGGTATGCTCGGCATTTCACTGTGGCGATACAACCGTTTGAACCGTTTGAACATCTCACAGCGTTACAAGTTAAAACTGAAAACTCAGGTCAAAACTTTCGGTCAACATTTTCGGACCAGAAACGCTTTAGCCCAGGTCTGGAGGGCCAAGGCACCAAACTGAGTTCGGACAAGTTAAAGCAAAAACCCAGGTCAAACTTCAAAGCCAACAACTTTCAGTCAAAACTTTCAGTCAAAGCTTTCGGTCAAAACTCTGGGGCCCAAACCCTCTCATATTTTTATCTATAAACCCCTAAACCCTAAACCCTAAATCCAAAACCCCTAAACCCCAAACATAAACCCTATACGCTAAATCCAACACCCCTAAACCCTAAATCCAAAATCCCGAAACCCTAAACCCTAAACCCTAAGTCCAAAATCCCGAAACCCTAACCCCTAAATCCAAAATCCCTCAACCCTAAACCCTAAATCCAAAACCCCTAAACCCCAAACAAAAATCCAAAATCCCTAAACCCTAAACCCTAAATCCAAGATCCCTAAAACCTAAACCCTAAATCCAAAACCCCATCAACCCCATCAACCCCAAACCCTAAATCCAAAACCCCTAAGCCCTAAATCCAAAACCCCTAAACCCCAAACCCTAAATCCAAAATCACTAAACCCTGAACCCTAAATCCAAAATCCCTAAACCCTAAACTCTAAACCCAAAACCCCTAAACTTAAACCTAAATCCAAAATCCCTAAACCCTAAATCCAAAACCCCTAAGCCCTAAATCCAAAACCCCTAAACCCCAAACCCTAAATCCAAAATCACTAAACCCTGAACCCTAAATCCAAAATCCCTAAACCCTAAACTCTAAACCCAAAAACCCTAAACTTAA